TGGCACTGGAGTTGCCCAGTCTCTCCGTTGTTTCCTCAGCGAAATTCCCCACAAACTGTGCAAAAATAAACACAAAATCTAGGTCGGCTTGTGTTTCACCTCCTTTATTAACCAAAAGTACCATAAGAACGTGTGCGCTGTATGAATGTCCCTTGATCAGTTCACGAAAATCAGAGCCTAACATGGACAGGAGCGATTTTCAAGGAGTAATTTATGCTGTTACTATGTAAATTTATGCACTATGTTCTTCCGGGTTTGATTCGATCGAATTAGGCAAAAAACCTAAACAGAGCCCTAGTGCTAAATTCGCGTATCCTGGGATATATAACCACTATTAAACATTTTTGAGATTTTCAAGTGTTTCATTTTTAACAATTTTTAAAATTGTAAGCACTGAAGATGATATGGATATATTTTTCATAGAAAATGAGATCTCTGTAACTCTGTAAACCCGAAGGGAGTATAACAAAATATAATTCCTACGTTCCACTCTATTCATATTTCACTGTGAAAAAATTAAAAATACTCTGCCGAAAATTCAAAACTCATTTTACTTTTTCAATTTCATTTCAAGGGCAAAATCGTCGATCTCCTCTAATATTCCTTTCGAACCCATTGCGCGACGCAGCGCTGTTCATAATTAGGCATTAAAACCTCTCGTGGCTCAATATTTATGGAAAATTCTTCGCATATTCCGTGCGTTTTCTCTTTTAAATGTCATTGTAGGACGATAGTTTTTTACGCGGCCGCGGCGGTGAGAATAAAATATTTGAGTAATTACAACAATTCGAGTGATATATGACAGGCTCTCCGAGGAGGACGGATCCACGCAGCGGTACCGGTACCACGCCAGCGTTGCCGCCACCATCTCAACGTTGCTGCCCGATGAATATGTCCACACCCAAATTTTGTCGCGCTACGTAAGAACGTCGCATGAGTCATTAGACGTTGCTAAATTTCCTTCCATAAAATACGAATTTCTCCGTCAACTTACGAATATTTTTCTTCCATATTTTTAGATATTGTTGTTCGCTATTTCACCTAAATTTCCTGCAAATTTCGAGGAAAAATATTCGTAACTTTCCCAAGAAAATGGGCGTTATTTTGGAGGAAATTTGGCAGCGCTTGAACGTTCATACGGTGTTTTTTCTCAGCACGGCAGAATTGTTCCTCCGCGGCTACGAACATTAACAATTAAATGGATTAGAAGATAGGATAAGGATATGAATTAGACCTTAACAACAAGTTACCTCATCAAGATTTCATGCAGGTCTAAAAAATTAACGGCAACAATCGACCAATATACACAAAAAAAAAAAAATCGTTTTTGCGTGATTAGTTCTCAGATCTCTTGTTGAATTTTGGACCAAAATTTCTCTGGTACAATTTTTTAAAAAATTGAATTATTCGATCCAATTTCGCAACCTTGGAGTGGACGCTCGTTTCGTCGTGCGCGAAACGACGACTCTTCTGATACGAGGTGTCTATATTTTCCCCCTTTATTTATTTATTTATTTTTTCTTTTTATTTTTTTTAAAGTTTACCACACAAAAAATATCTAGAAAAATACGACGAAATTCATCTTTGTTGACAAAAGAGTGACTGCGTGAAGATTGACGGAATTTCCGGAAAAAAACGGTATTAAATCCTCATTTGCTGCAAGAGAGCAAGTATTTCCTGCCGTCTTGTGTAATTGTGTATATTAATTCATTTGTTTTCCCCACCAACCCTAGAGTTTTTTTTTTTATTCGTGAAAAACGCAACACAGCAAACATGCAAAAGATAGCACATTGTCATATCTTACCATTTTCATACAATGGTCACTATATACACCCGCAATCCATTGCACAACCAACAGCCGTTCATCCGTCTACTTTTCAGGGAAATAAAAATTGATCATAGTGTAGTAACGGCACGGTCTCTAATAGGCATTTCCACGTGCCTTCTTAAATGTAGGCAGCATAACAATTTTAATATCAATTCGAACTTCCTGAGTAAAAATGCAATGTAGTGTTATCAGTTAGTATTTGTTAGGTTTTGATTTTTAAATTATCAACTGAAATACGCAACTGAGTAACTACCACCTCTATTAATGAGGTAAATCACATTGAAGGACATAGGCGCATTGCTCGAGAAAAAGTAGGAAGAAAAAGGGGACGAAGAGAGAAGGAAAGAACGAAGGAAAGAAGAAGGTAGGACGCTTAGATTTGGTATTTATTCATGCCCAAAATTGACTCAGGGTGCAAAATGCTATACAATTTTAAAAATTTTCTGCGGGAAGCCCGCCGGACCACCTGACGTAGCTCCCATCCCCCGTTCAAAGTGTCTCAATCCGCCTATGTTGAAGGGAGTCTCCCAAAATAATTAAGTATCTTAAACTTGGAAAGATGCCGATTCCAGCGCGATCGTCATAAGGTAGCATGAGTTTATTTAACTTTTTGAGGGGAATTTTTGATCTCTTGTCACAGAATGGATGAAATGGATACTGCCGTGCAAAGGCAAAACGCCGTATGAACATTCGAGAGTTGCCAAATTTCCTTCGATAAAATATTTACATAGGCTGTCCCAAAACAACTGGCACTAAGTCTATCATTCGGGAACTACAATAGATATTGACATGCGGTTTGCGGGAGGTGATAGCTCATACTTTTAGCTCTTAAACGAGCCTAAGTTGAGCTAATTTGGTTAAAAACTCAACGAGTTACATCGATTTTCCCGAGACGTGTAAGAAATACCCCTACGGAATTTTTCGGTAATTTTTCATTCCTTAACTTTGCCTCCACAAGCTGTGAAATTGGTTCAGACGTTATGAATCAAGTTTCCACTTCTCTGGATGCAAGTTTCCACTTGTCAGGAAGTGTTTCCATCACAGCCGAGAAGTTTTTTTCTGTTTGCAAAGTCAGTTTAGTGAAATTGTCCGGCCTGATAACGCGTTTTTTTGTGTTTCGTCATGAGTTCACCCGCGGAGTTGAAGCAAGAGCAACGATACGCAATTCGATATTGCGTTCGTCGTGAATTATCTGCTTCTGAAACCCTTCTAAGCCACTGTCATTTCATTCACAGTTTCAGAAGCAGATAATTCACGACGAACGCAATATCGAATTGCGTATCGTTGCTCTTGCTTCAACTCCGCGGGTGAACTCATGACGAAACACAAAAAAACGCGTTATCAGGCCGGACAATTTCACGAAACTGACTTTGCAAACAGAAAAAAACTTCTCGGCTGTGATGGAAACACTTCCTGACAAGTGGAAACTTGCATCCAGAGAAGTGGAAACTTGATTCATAACGTCTGAACCAATTTCACAGCTTGCGGAGGCAAAGTTAAGGAATGAAAAATTACCGAAAAATTCCGTAGGGGTATTTCTTACACGTCTCGGGAAAATCGATGTAACTCGTTGAGTTTTTAACCAAATTAGCTCAACGTAGGCTCGTTTAAGAGCTAAAAGTATGAGCTATCACCTCCCGCAAACCGCATGTCAATATCTATTGTAGTTCCCGAATGACAGACTTAGTGCCAGTTGTTTTGGGACAGCCTATGTATTTTTGAGAAAAATTATCAATGGTTTTCCTTGAAATGTTTGGACTATTTCGATCAAATTACAAACGAAATTTCCTGAAAAATCGAAAGAAAAATGCTTATAAATATTCCCGAAAAGTTGTGATTTATCAAAGGAAATTTGGCAACGCCTAAAGGCTCATGCGGCGTTTTCCCTTAGCACGGCAGAATAGACCTCGCATTGCAATGGTTAACAGTCAAAATAACCGACCGCTACCCATCGAATAGCGCGCTAGAGTAAGCCTGAGACTGTCTGGTGTCTATTCTTTTTCAGGTGGTAAAATATTATTGGAGATCTGTGACGTAAGAACCGTGTTTCTGGTTCTACACGCACAACACTGGCAGCAAAACGGTTTCCACGCCGCCGCGCGCCGCGCCGCGAATTACCTAGAATGAGAAAAATGTTCGAAATTCTCCGTTGGAGATAATTGCGCGCGTGAATTATCGCCACGTTTGCCACTTGGAAGGAGAAAACCCGGGGATTTCGGAAATGAAACTGTATTAAATTAAGCTGGTTGCTTCCATCTGGCAACAGAGTTCTCGTGACGATGCGGTCAGTCTCCGCTCGGCCACAGGTGAACTGATTTAAAGTGAGAAAAGAAACGGAAAATAAATAAACCTCGGTGAAAGTTGGACTGGCCTGTAAGTCAAGCCTTCAACTTCTTCACCGTGCACTTGGTGCTCTCGGAAAATAGGTGGGAAAGTGAAGAATTATTGACCCTCCCTCGGTAGTTCTCCAGGTATCGATAGCCACAGTGCGAAACCTGCATGAATCTCCAGTACGGTGCTTGAAAGGAGGGACTTGGAGGACAAGGCGCATAAGTGCAGTTTCTCCTATTTCGAGAAATACGTGTTTAAAGTTTTGGAATACGTGAATCTTTATGGTGGAAAGAAAGTTCAAAATGACTTTTTGATGCTTAAAAATTGGAATTTGGGCACGAATTTTTCACAGAATATCCATTAAGACTCCTCCTGGACAGAGCTTACTAGCTGCTGGCACTGACCAGGTGATCAGTGGGCATTCTAACTATAATACGTGGTAGGGGCGTCGCGCACGAAGCACGGACAAGTTAATTCAGCTCCGAACCCCCGACCATCTTCCGAATCCCAGGTTCATCTGCAGTTTCAACATTTCGCTCTTCAACGTCATGTTGTCAAGGCACACGCCCCAAACTTGGTCACCAGTCTATGCTGCATGAGACATTAGTCGTGACGCAGGCTAGGTTATCACATAAGAAGGCAAAAACAATTGCTCTAAATTCTAAAATCAGAGATACCACTACTTGGATAGCCGATTTTATTTTATTGAACATATTTTTTCAATAGAATTAACCTAACTAATAATCATAAATTGATGGGGGGAATCAACTCATAATGAAAATCATTTAAAAATTGAACATTTTTCTTTATCACTTGTATGCAAGTATACCGTGCGGTCAGCTTCATCATTATACATTCAGTTTTAAAATCTATGTTCCTGATACTGATTCCATCAAAATTACTTTAATTTTTTTTTTCTTTTTTTTTCTTTTTTTTCTTGAACGCCGGACAAGACAGAAATCTGTGTAAAAGCCTATGGCTCGAAGAGGACATTTCAAAATGTATGCATGTGTGATCAACTACCAAATGTATGTTTGCCCCAGAGCGCCTTCAAATTAGAACGATGCTTTTCTTTGAACACTCGCTCAATTCTCTGCTCAAGTGGTGATCTTTCATAGCCGCGACAAACGTGCTACGTGTGGAACTAACCGAAGCGGCTCATATTATGTTTGATACATTGTTTTCTGGAATGAAAGATTAATGATTATTGTATTAATAAAAGATTTAATGAGCTGTGTTTAATGTGCTTGATCTTCATAATTTCGTAAATAAAGACCACCAATTATTAAGAATCACCACATCAATTTATTTTGGTAATCCTGACAAAGTCTGCACAAAAAAGGAAAGAGAGCGCTCTTATACGATGGCGGCGTAGTAGCCTACGGAAAAATCTGAGCGCGGTCGATCGCGATTCAGTCGTGCCTACAATCTTGAAGACTGCCGTGCTAAGGAAAAACGTCATATGAACCTTTAGGCGTTGCCAAATTTCCTTTGGTAAATCACGAAATTTTGGGGAAATTTTTAAATATTTTTCCTCCAATTTCTCAGATAATTTTCTTCGCGATTTCAACTATGAAGTTCCTGAAAATTTCAAAGAAAAATATTCATAGTTCTCCAAAAATAAACAATTTATCGGAGGAAATTTGGCAACTCTTGAATGTTCATACAGCGTTTCTCCATAGCACGGCAGAAGAAGCGCATGCATAATAAGAGTGGCAACTGGCAACAGAACGATGCAAACCCAATTTCGACCGTTATTTCACTCGGATTTATAAATTCTAGGAGCAGGCGGTATTATTCAATATAATAAGGACCATCAATCAAGGTATCGCGGATTGCATGCGAAGCAACTATTTGTTAGAGCCGATCGCACTTTCACATCTTGGTCCAGGATTCGCCCACGCACAGAGCACCTGCAACCAGCGTTGCAGGATCGTGCCGCAAATTGAACACCGTCTCGTACTTTGGATCTGGATGAGATATTTTCGCATACCTGGCAATTGGGACTGTGATAAACGGTCCACCTGGCGGGCGGCTAGGTAAACTATCTGTTCTTGAATTGTGAGCCAGGAGTTAGATTGATCATACGAGTGCAAACAAATGAAGCTTTGCCGCTCGGCTCTCGGCCACTTTCAACGACGCAATGCATCACTGCATGAGCGAGAGGCCCGGCCAGTTACGGCCAAAAAAGGTGCTTTAGAATATGCGTAAAGGTAAAAAAAATTGAGGGTGAGGCTTTTCTGCGCATGAGACTGTCCAAGAAAAAGAGGCCTCAGTCCTGAAAAAGTAAAAATGATCATCAGGCAAATCCATCAATCACAGAGAGAGTATAGAAGTATTGTATCGTGCTTTACAAACATTTTTGAACGGAAAACGCTCATAAATTGAAACTGCACCGGAGTTATGACGACTTGAGGGGCTTGGAGGACAAGGCGCATAAGTGCAGTTTTTGCTATTTCGAGAAATACGTGTTTGAAGTCCCGCAATTAATGGATCCTTATGGCGGTGAGAAAGTTCAAACTGACTTTTCGATGCTTAAAAATTGGAAGATGGGATCAAATTTTTCGCAGAATATCTATTAAGACTAGTTCTACTTGAAATCAGTAATATCTCAATAATTCAAAAACTGCACTTATGCGCCTTGTCCTTCAAGCCCCTATCATTTAATGTTCTCGCAATTTGAAAAAAAATAAATCAGCTTTGAGGGAAAAGCTATGAAAGTTTTTTCCATCACTGTGCGGGTTTACATTTTTTTTTTTTTTTTTTTTTTTTTTTTTTTTTTTTTTTTTATAAAATGCAGCTTCATGCCTTATTTTGACACAAAATTACCTCAAACTACTCGTATTTTTTCCTTGGAGATACCAGCGAACATATTTCGACAAAAACTTGAATTTCGATGCTTCGACTCAGCATGGAAAAAAGTACTCTCTGAAGAATCTGCTTTCAGTGACATACCTCATCTTCGGGACAGTTAAAAAAAAAAGCGCGTGACAATAGTTTTACAAAATGTTTCTTTATTTTTAACGCCAACACCTCCTGAAAATTCTCTATCTCCATTGCAGGAGAAGCGGAACCTTCTTCTTTCCTGTTTTCGAGACGGTCGGACCAAGCCGCGCGGGCGAGGAAAAAAGGGGCGTCGGATAATTTATGGGGATCCAAGCGGGGGCAATCATAACGGAAGTGCGATGAGACCAGGAAACGGAGGAACTGCGGCTCCTGTCCCATTAGGCGTTGGCGCATGCGCGTGATAATGGCACAATTTTCATCCTCAATAAAAAATAAATGAGCCGCACTCCAGGTCAGGTCGCACGTAGCTCGAGCTGCCTGCATAATGCATGCTCTATGATTATAGATATAGAACTGCGGTTCGCGTTTTTGGGCCACCACGATACCTTCGATTCCCAATTCTTATTATTTTTCACCTCCGAAATTCCGACTGGTATAACTATTGAATCCATGGGTTTCGTTTGGGTTAAAAACATCAGAAGTCAGGTCCATCCTGGATAGTGGGATGTTCTAAAAGTCTCGCACCATTAACACTCGGCTTCCCCTGCACATATAGAACCAATTGAGACTTGGCATTTTTTGAGTGCTTCTAGGTCATAAAAAACCGCACTTAAAGGGCCCCCAAAATTTTAAGGGAATCAATTAAAAAATGAGTGAGACTTTTGGGCAGTATGGGAGTAATGCAGGACATTTGGATCACTCTGTACAAGGCTGTGTTCGAGTGTGCGGTTTGCATCCGACTTTTAATTCGAAACTCTATCACGTTGCTAAACTAGACATGATTGTTCAAATTTGTATATGGCCTGCATGAAATACACGAAAACTTTCTCAGTATGAATAGAATTGCCTCTTATTTTAAGTCCTTCTTATGTTTGTCTGTTGACATTTCAAAACATTGGAATTTACATTTTAACCCTTTGTTGCATGAGCTAATCGTTGATTTTGGAGAGAAAATCTACATTGCCAGTATTTTTTCGATACCATAGTCGGCTGGAATCGATTTTTATGGTTTATTCTTAGCAAGAAGATCATGTTCCCCAAACATTATTTCTTGCTTTGATTTAATTTAATACTCCAGCATAGAAATAAAGCTGAAAACCATTTGTTGCTTCCATGCAACGCTATAATAATGGTCAGATTTCATATTTTGAGATTATGATTTATACTACTTTAGGGCGCAACCTAACTTTACCTAATCAAACACTATACGCACTGGTGTTTGTTCAAAAGCGGTGAAGAGAGGAAGCGTTTCCGAAGAAATTTGGATATTATTAGTTAAAGATTCGGATTGTATTCATATTGCATATTTATTACAAATCATAGAGGCATGAATGTAAAACTATAGAAAAACTTTAAAATTGTTGGATGGGCTTTAGCATGGTTTACTAGGGGGAAAAGTTTGTGGACAGTGAAGGCCTAGATACACACGGCGATTAATCGGCGCGATTGAAAGATGAAAGCCAATGGAGAGCCTTGATTTCGATCCATTGACGTCAATACATCGAAATCAAGGCTCTCCATTGGCTTTCGTCTTTCAATCGCGGCGATCAATCGCGGCGATCAATCGCCGTGTGCATGTATTTAGGCCTTGAGACACAAATCTTCGAACAGATGACTATTGCTGCATTACAAATGTCTTAGGTCTACCTTAAAAATTGGAGGCAAAATAGTGATGGGTGCAATTCCTATACTCCTCCTCGTGTAAACTCTATCTGCTCAGTTAGGCAGAAAACGTCATGGGGTCTAGCGTCACAATCCCCTTTGTAGTATACTTTCACATGAGTTTCACCATAAATCAATAAAATGGTTTTTTGAAACGATTAGCACAAAATCTATGATTTTCTCAGACATCAGAGTCGAACTTTTTCTTCAAAATTGCAAATGCATTTTTGAATTATCGTGGTTAAATTTACTCGAAAATAAGAATCAAGTCTTATAAATTCTTTTAACGGGTCGTATTTGATCGTGGTTCGATGTATCGTCTGGTGCAAAACAATTGGATTGCATTTTGCAAAAAGGAACGACTAGCATTGCAATGATGCTAAGATTGTACAACTTCATCTTTTGCAATAAAATTGCAGTAATCGTGAAAAACTATGAAATTTAGATGGTAATTTTTGTCTTAAATTTACAGTTTTTAGCGAGTAAAATAGAAACTATTAATGGATAGTCGGGTTTTTTTCCTACAAGACAAAAGAAGTTGCACAATCTTAGCAACATTGCAATTCTAGTGGTTCCTTTTTGCAAAATGCAATCCAATTGATAATAACCTAAAACAAATTTTTTAGGATTTAAGTTGGGAAAGCTGAAAATGAGAAAATTCCAAAAAAAATTTAAATTTCATTGCCATTAAGTGCTCACAAGAATAAAAAATCTTTTTAAAAAAAAACCGTTCCCTCATAATACTCGATTGACTTTTGAGGCTATGTTTACAGGTTGAACCAATCGATATCGATACAATCTTACCTGTTCGATGTATCAAATATACCATCCATTGCAATTTACCGTAAAAACTTACACGATAACCCTCCGCGGGAAAATTGAAGTCAAGTTCCAAATTTAGGATCAAACCAAAAGAAGTATTCCATTCATCGTGTATAGACGCCCTCTTCTCATACGAACTCAAAATTGTGAGCCGGTGCCTATTGCTTAACGGAATAGCAGTCTATCATCTTCCCACATTCCGAGAACTATCAAATTTATGGAAAATGAATTGATTACGATGGAATGGGGCGGTAAATCAAATTGATAACAGAGTTTAGGGTACATTAGCGCGAGGAAATGCACCAACTCCTAAATGAAGAATGAGAGGGCATCTGAAAGCAAGACAGAGGAGGAAAAGGAGGGGACGCGGGGGACTGCAACTCGCGTTGAGCCGATGCGATAGCTTGTAATTATACAAACAAAACTTACGTTTTCGACGTTTCTGATTACAGGGCGCTCAAATTTGAGGCAAGTGCACGCTTCGGCGTGGCGCCCCCCCCCCTCCCCCCAAACCTTGGCGTTGGAGTTTGATGCGAAAAAAGTAGAGCATGGTAGACCCTGTTGTCAAATTGCATTGATTTTTATTTTTTTTAAAAAAAGGGAAATGACAGTTAAAATCTAAAAAAATCAAATTCATAGGGTCATAAGAACCATAGATTGATTCGGTGAGCGTCCCAATAAATTAAGAAGTTCAAACGTTTTTCAACAGATTATTAAATGGACTGCATTTTGCAATTTGGAACTATAAATTCTGGCTCATCTGAAAAAACACTTATGTGCATAGGGAAACTAATGGCACATACCTTGTTTTTAAACCGGGCCAGAATTTATAGTTCCAAATTGCAAAATGCAGTTCAAATAGATTTAATGAATCCTTTAAAATATCCATGACCTCCGTGTGCCCTCCTCTCTGACTGCTCTCGCAAAATGTGAGACATAAATGGACGTATTTCTGCCAAACGGAACTATGTGCATTAAAAAATGAGTCATGAGACCCATAAAAAAATATACACAACAGGGCTCACGTCATGATGCACATAGTTGCGTTTGCCAGAAATACGTCTGAATGTGTAAGAACCGAGTGTGAAACCCATTAAACTGCTTTTCGATGAAAGGATAGTTCGATTTCTTTTTTATAAATTAAAGAATAAAAGGTTGAAAACTGAAGCATGGCAGGCTCAGCCGCCCAATCACCAAGTCATTGTTTTTAAAAAAATTGTTGAAATGTTAAAGAAGAGTGATATTGTATAAGCTCATGACATTGTAATGAAGATTCAACTTTTTTACGCGCTTTGTTTTAACATACCCTATGTAAAACTAAAATGTGTACAAGTAGTTACATAATACATATCCTTCGAAATTATATAACTCGAGTCCGGCCTTTCCTCTAACCCTTACAAATTTCAGAAGCACCGCTATGAAGAACACAAGCGGGACCAACAGAGGAGGATTTAGAGGAAGGAAAAGGACGCGCGTTGATGACGGCGCAGAGATACAACTATTCATGCTTGATGGACGTCCGTGTTGCATCTCCAAAATTGAAGGCGCGATGGCGCGAGATGTGAACTCGTAATTTCCCGCTCTATGCTGTTGATGAGACGTCCCTCGTATGCAGGAGAAAAATTAAAATTTTAAAGTTCAGCAGGTGTGTTGATTCTTCATTTTTCTCTTTTTTTCCAATTCGGTGTTTGATTTTTTATCACAAATTATTTGTAGACCTATGGCTAAAGCTCGCATGTACCGGCCCTATACGATTCACGGGGCACGTGTTTTTAGGAAGTTTCGGATCAATTATTTGCACCCAAAAGATGTTGATGTATTTGATGAAATATGCTGAAAATTAGTGGCTAGCTCCTACATTATTTGCTCATTTAAAACCCTTGAGAGGCCAATTTATTGAGAACACATTGAAATTCTCCTTCCTACAAAAAGTTAAATATGGTCATTGGTAGTTTGTTTGACAACCGCAGGGAACGATCCTCATAATGTAATTAAAGAGTAGTGGGAGAGTCTTAGTCCTGGGGTCTGCGTTCCCCCCTCGGCATTGGTTGTCAAAACAAGTTGTGAAAGCTTTTTCTCTTCAAGTTTGACCACTCCATCGTTGCCAAATTATTATGGTATTATTGCCCTGGATAAGTTATAGGTCGAGTGTACTCGTTAGGCCTTGTCTCCACGGGACTTTTCCATGGGATTTGTCCCAAGTTCAAATTGCAAGAGGGAAACTTCCGGAATTTTTTCCAGTTACCGTCTCCACGGGACGGGGCGGTGGCCAGACTCTTTACCCAATATTGTTTGGTCCAAAGTTTTCATGGCTCATTTTTAAGTTCGTGCAATAGTTTTTTTTTTTTTTTTAATATTTGTTAATGTTTTTTGAACCAATAGTTTACTTAGTCCAGTTACAAGCAATGATACAAGTGCTGAGATTTCGGGGAAAAATAATAAAATTTAACCTTAGATGCCTAAGCTGGGTCAAACTGACACCACGATCGCTGAAAACACATGCCCTGCGGGTTTTATGTGGCTGGTACATCCGAACTTTAGATGTAGCTCTACAAATACACCTTAAAAAAGAATAGTATATCAAATTTAAGAAAAAAGGAAAAATATCGAATATCAGCACAGCCGAAGGTAGGAGAGACCTTTTGAATCTGGTTTTTTTTAACTTTTCCTCAACCCAGAACGACAGTTCATTGGCAGCTTAGAGCGGAGCATCGCGAGCTCACGCCTCCCGCTATAGCGCCTCCAATTTTGCAGATGCAACACGGACATCCGTCAAGCACGAATAGTTGTATCCCTGCGCCGTCATCAACCCGGAACCTTTCCTCTGCTCTATTTCCACATTGTTGGTTCCGTCTGTCTTATTTGTATTTTGTAGTAGTATTGCAAGGACTACGTGAGCAAAACAGCCGAAGATAGGTGAGATGTAATCGGGCCTTTTTTTAAAACTTTTCTCCGAATCTGAGTGACACCTCATTGGCAGAATAAAGCGGAGTGTTGCGAGACCACTTCTCGCGCCATCGCACCTTCAATTTTGCAGACGCATCACGTACATCCATCAAGCACGAATAGTTGTATCCCTGCGCCGTCATCAACGCGCAACCTTTCTCTCGCTCTATTTCCACGTTTTGTTGGTCCCGCCAATCTTATTGGTGGTAGTGATTCAAAGGCTATGTGAGCAAAATAGCCGAAGATTGGACTGATGTAATCGTGCCTTTTTTTAAAACTTTTCTCCCGAAACTGAGCGACACCTCGTTGCCAAAATAAAGCGGAGCATTGCGGCGCGCCTTCAATTTTGCAGACGCAACATGGGCATCCATCAAGCACGAATAGTTGTATCTCTGCGCCGTCATTAAAGTGAGTCCTTTCTCTCATTCTATTTCCATGTTGTGTTGGTTTCGTTTGTCTTATTTGTAGCGGTGCTTAAAGAGCTACGTGAGCAACACAGCCAAAGTATAACTTCGATTTTCAGGAAGTGCCGGGTGCCCCCCCTCCCCCGGGTTTGAAGTACAGTGGATATCGGATATAACGACCTTGAAGGGACCAGCCATATTCGGTCGTTATAGCCGATAGTCGTTATAACCGATAGTGGAATTTTTACGCACGTATCCTATGTTAAAGAGCTGAGAACAAGGCTGTGCTGTAGGTGGGATTCCAGGGCCCGGTTAATTTTGCTGCTGATTCATTATCTCTTCAGTAACACCTTTATTTATTAGCTTTATCTAATTTTATTTGAATTGAATATTTATTTAATTCATTTATTTTTTTATTTTTTTATTCTAGGACTAATTTTAATTAAAACACTTTGTTTGAATTTGTAAAAACAAGGTATTTTATAATATTGAGGTTACATGCACTACACACTGTATTATGTTTGCACTACATATGCGCAATACCGAAGAAGTATAAAACTTCTAATTTGAATAATAGTCCGTGATTTTTTTTTGCTTCACAATTGTGTTCGCGTACCCTTTTTGTAACGCTCTATGGGCCGAGCGTAAAGTGTGATAAAAAGGGGATCGTTCCATTCTGGGTTCAAAATTAGGAATTTTTGAACAGTTGTGATGGCTTCTAGGGCGTCTGGAAACGAGATCCTCTCCTCTTCGGCCTCTGTTGCTGTCGCTCAGGTCGTTATAACCGATCATTACATCTGTTGGGAAGCGAAGAGTCCGTCGCTATGACCGATATGTCGTTATATGCGATGTCGTTATAACCGATACATAAATACATTGAATGAATGGGATTTCAGCCGGGACCGACCAGTTTACGTCGTTATGTCCGATATGTCGTTATAACCGATGTCGTTATATCCGATATCCACTGTATCTGAATCCGCCTACGGCTTTAGTTTGATCGTGTGACCCAGGTTTATCAGTATCAACTTGTTATTCATAGTCTTCCACCGAAATATACCGCCTATAGCGGCAATATCGGTGTTTCAGCGGGGTGCGCTAATACTTATGCTGCCGCGCTAAGGAAAAACGTCATGCGCACGTGAAAAGCGTCGTGAGCACTCGAGAGTTGCCAAATTTCCTCTCAGGAAACATTCATTTTCGAAGAAAGTTATGAATATTTTTCTTTGAAATTTAATGGACCTTTAGGTGAAATTGCGAACAAAATTATCTGAGAAATTGGAGGAAAAATATGTACAAATTTTCCCGATACTTCGTGTTTTCACTGGGAAAAACCTATTGGATCTAGAGTCTAGACCCTCAAAAACATTGACAAGAAAAAATACTCTTGATTCATTCGGATTTTTGATTACATCAAGAACCAAGCCGCTTAATTTGAGCGGATTTCCTTTCGATTTAAGCAAAAATCTGATTGAATCAAGAGTATTTTTTCTTGTCAATGTTTTTAAAAGTCTGGACTCTAGATCCAATGTGTTTTTTTCCAGTGTTACTAAACGAAATTTGGCAACGCCTGAAGGTTCATACGGCGTTTCTCCTTAGCACGGCAGTATGCGGGTGTGTTGTGTACTAGGTTATGGCGCTCCAGCCGGCCGGAGTTGGGGGTTCAGCCCGGGGCCTCGAAGGCGGGGGCGGGGGCAGTTCACCTTCCTCGATGCCACATCCCAAGCGCGTCCGCACACATATCTTGACGAGTGCATTAACATAATCGTTCAT